TTCCATGGGGTGAAGTAGGTGATTTGGCTGAGGAGGCTGTTAGAGGAGCTTGGCCAGGAGCAGAAGGTTGCTACGCCGCTGTTTTGTGATAGCAAGGGGGCTCTTCGGATGGCCAGGAACGCTGTGCTTCATGGGCTGAACAAGCACATGCGTATCAAGTGGCACTGGCTGCGTAAGGAGGTGAAGAGGGGGACGGTGAATCCGATCTACATCAAGACTCACCAGCAGCCAGCAGACTTCCTCACCAAGAGGCTTGCGGATGAGCCTCATTGGCGTTGTCTGCGCATGAGTGGAATGAGAATGAACTAACATGGTATGTTGGGGATGCAGCCGGCAGGCTGAGGGGGGGTGCGTTGGGTGCAAATTCACATTGCACGACATCCTGCCGTCTGTTTGTACGAGTATGCGTGTGCGAATGCATTTGGGTGTGAATGGAATGTTTATGTGTTTGTTTGCTTTCGCAATTTTCGCTTGATGCATTTGCAGGTACTCGCGCATTGTGCGCTTCGGCACAACATTGTACGCGCTATGAACAGTGCAAGCAGAAAGGACGAGCTCGCAAAGGAACCCAAGATGGAAGCTTCGCAGTTCGGTTGAATTGAGTGCGCAGATTCAGTTCTATCCAACTCGAAATTGTACTGTTTTGTTTGGTTAACTATAGTGTAGCAGGGCAGGCACTATAGGGGTACAATTTAGGTGAAGGTTGGATGTTGTTTGTCTGTATCTGCATGCTACAGGGCCAGGGGAAACCAGCGGAACCAGCATTTGGCTGGTTGGGCAAAGACAAAACAGGTTCTGTTTTTAGGACCTGAACCTGGTTGTTGTTTTCCCAGGTTGGAAAAACAGAACCAGAGGTTGTTTACCAACCTACCACCTGCTGTTTTATCCAGCCAGGTTGGTTCTGTTGCTTGGAATTATTTGGGATCATCCTTGGTTGTTCCCAGGTTGATTTCCAAGGTCCTTGCTAGCTAGAACAAATTTATCCCTTCTCTGTTTGTACCTGGAGATAGTGAAATTGATTCAAGCGAATTCATTCCTTGCTGGAATTTCGTTTCTACGCGGTGCGACGGCAGAATGCTACCGAGTCAATGCTAGCACGCTAGCACTACGACGCTAGGCAAACGCTGTCCGAGCCATAACTTTGCAATGGCAGAACTTTTCGCGAGGCAACTTGGTTTATTTTAAAGCTCTTAGAGTGAGCTTCGATATAGCGAATTCTCAGCTTAATCCGATCGACGGTCTGCACGGCACGCTCCGCAACGTTCAAGGTACTCTTGCTGATTTGACTAAGTCCCTCTTGATCCCTCTCTCTACATACTCGGACCCGAGGATAGGGGCTGGTCCTGTACCAAGCACCCAGGGACCCTTGGAGGTGACCCCGAGGAGAGGTTTTAAGTTGGATTACGTCTTAATAGCCTGAGTTTATTAGGCCCTTACACCAACACGTCGGAGCCCGAAAGGGCGACCACGGCGACGAAGCCCCCTCTACCGCCGGCTCCGAAGCCCGTGACAACAGTCTCTGAAAAGATTCTTCCCCTTGCACCCGCGGATCCCCTTGCCGTGTCTGAAACTGGCCCGTCTGCCCCTGTTGTTGCTCCGTCCGCTCCGGCCTCTGCTCCTGTTCCCCTTGCTCTCTTTGTGGAGCCGCCGGCGTCTGCTCCTGCTGGAGATGCTGCTGATCCCCCTGTTCCTGTCCCTGGCGCACCCGTTGCACCGCCCGCTTCTGTCCCCGTCGTGTCTGCTCCGGCCTCTGCTTCGTCCGCCAGTGCTCAGGGCGGTGTCTCCCGGGCGCAACGTAGCGCGCCAGGATGCTGAGAGGGTACGCAAGGTCAGGCCGAGTGCACGTCATCAGGTACATGAGGCAACCCACAAGCTCTGGATACGAAACACTAGGCTCTAGGGACTTGTCCGAAGGTGGAGCTGAGAGAGTGTGGCCCGTAGGCATAGGAATGGGCTTTGCCGAGGAGAACTGAAAGCCGAAGCGCAGAAGGACCTGCTGCACCATGTGTGACTGAGTCGGCGTGATGGTGCGCGCTGCTCTGTTCCGGGTGATCTGCAAGCCAAGATAGCTCCGCAGTTCACCCAGATCAGTGCAGGTATGTCTCTTCTGCGGCTCGGCCTTCACGAAGGCCAGTGCCTCAGGAGCGAAGCCAAGAGCCGCAAGTGTCGTCCTCAATGTGTCGTGCCACTCGCGGGGCGCGCGACGCAGACCGTAGATTGGCCGCCGGAGACTCCACTAGGTACCCTCAGGTTACGACCCAGTGAAGCCAGGTGGGCGGCGCAGCCAGATCTCCTCGTGGAGGCTGCCCTGCAAGAAGGCTGTCGAGAAGTCGAGCGAGTGCAGCTCATAGTCACGCTGTGCTGTAACGTGCAGTAACACCCAAACAGTCGTCATCTTCGGGGTGGGGGCGAAGGTCTGGAAGAATTCGACCCCCTCACGCTGACTGAAACCGCGTGCAACGTAACGCGCTTTGAAGGCAGGCGGTGAACCCGGCGACCGCTTCACCCTAAAGATCCACATGTCACTGACGATGTTCGTCCCAGGTGGTGGGACTGCGTCGACGTAGGTGCCAGTGGACTTCCACGAAGCCATCTCTGCGTCCATAGCTGTCCGCCACTGAGAAGAGTAAGGACCCGTGACCGCCTCTGCGTAAGAGCGAGGGATCGGGATGTCAAGTGCATCCGGGTCTCCCTCAGGGGCAAGCAACATGGCAGCGAGATGGGGAACAGCAGCCGCGAGGTACTCCAGCTCGAACTGCCTGTCCTCAAGGACGTCACAGCCAAGGGCAAGCTCACCCCGACGGACGTAGGACAGGCAGGGTCAGAAACCAGACTCGCAAGATAGTCAAGGCGGCAAGCAGCAGCAAATTCAGTGAGCGCAACGACGAAGGCAGACGCAGAAGCTGGCGAGAAAATAGGGTGAGTCATAAGCGTGGCAAGACAACGAGTGACTGTCGGACTGGCAGCACGAGCAAGGTCAGACACAGGGTTAGGAACGTCGGGAAGGGAAGACGGGGGAGGTAGCGATAGGACAACAGGCTGCGAAACAGAGGAAGGACGAAGTGCCATAGTGTGCGTACTGGGAACAGGAGGAGGGCGAACACGTCGAGCACGACGAACACGAGCAACAGGTGAGGTAGCACGAGACGCAGGGTCCCGACTCTCGGTCGGGGAGACAGACAACGGGGAGTAACGAGGAGGAGCAGGCAGAGGGGAGTTAGGCGGCAACAGTGCCTGAGACAGGTCAGGCGGCGGAAACAGTAGAGGAGGAGTAGTACCAGTGGCTGTCGGCTCGGCAGAGGCCGGCGGGAGACTGAGAAGGTTGAAATGCCGACCCAGGTAGCGGTAGCGACGACGGCTGCTGCTCCCTGAACAACGCCCGCTGCGGCAGCGACTGCGACGCACCCCCAGACCCAGCACCTCCAGCACGAACACCAGAACTGCCAGTCCCAGGAACACCTCCAGCTCCAGCTCCAGTACCTCCAACTCCAGAGTCAGTACCTCCAGCTCGTCCAGCTCCAGCACCACCAACACCCCCATGCTCAGCACTTCCAGCTCCAGTACCTCCAGCTCCAGCACTTGTACCGCCAGCACCCCCAGCGGCAGGACCTCCAGAGACAGCACCGACAGCACCTCCAACTCCAGCACCTCCAGCCCCAGCACCTCCGCTCCAGTACCAATGTCGCCAGCACCCCCAGCGGCAGGACCTCTAGAGACAACACCCCCAGAACCTCCAGCAGCAGCACAAGGAAGTGGCAGCGACGACAGCTGCTGCTCCCAGAACAACGGCCGCTGCGGCAGTGACTGCAACGCACCCTCAGAACCTCCAGCAGTAGCACCCTCGACCCCACCAACACGAGGAACCTCAGCACCCCCAGAGTCAGCACCCCCAGAACCAGTACCCCCATAGTCAGCACCCCCAGAACCAGCACCCTCAGCATCACCACCCCCAACAGCACCAGGGCCACCGGAGTCCACAGAGACAGGCTGCATAGGAGGCGAAGACGTCCGAGGCGGAAAAAACGGAGTCGTCTCCAAGCGCTGCGGGCAGCGAGAGGTCGTTGTGTCCTCAGCAGCAGGGTCACCAACCTCAGCTGGGCTAGAGAAGTCTGATGAGAGATCCAAAGGCACAACCGATGGGAGCGGGGTGACGTGAGACACACCTAAGGGAGCAGGACGGGGGGGGAGGGGGTCTACCTGGGGCGTGTTAAGAACATAAGAAACAGGAATTACTAGAATGGGGGAGTACAAGGCTACAAGTATGAAACCCTAAATGGGGTTGTACCTTGTAAAGCCTACCCTATTACAGCCTACAGCAACATATAACATATAAAATTTGACACACCCCCATAGGCGAAGTGGGGGATAGCAAGAATAACAAACGGTCACAATACCAGTCAAGATAAGAAACAAATCAAGCTCAGGGTGGATCTCAAGATCACCACACAATCCGAGCACAAGCAAGCGGCCACAAGGCCAGTCCACATGCAGTATTATAGTAGAACTGTCGAAATCCTACCCCCTTTCCAGTTGATCCTCGCTCCTTCAAGACTCTCATATACCCTCCTTCCTCCCTCCTTCTTTGACCCCCTTCCCTTTCCTTCTGATATCCCTCTGCTGTATTCACCCCACTCCTCCTTGCCCTTGTCTTGGTTCATCCTCTGTTCATGTCCTTTCTGCCCCCTCCCATGACGCATTGCAGCCGTCCTCGAGCGCGTCATGGGACCCGCCTGGCCGAGCCTCTCTCTCTGACTGCGGATCCTAGCTACGTTCGTCACGTGGTCCGCCACTCGCTTACCCCTCCCATCTTCCAGCACAGTCACCTCGGAGAACTTCACTTCTTTCACCTTCCCGCGCTGCTGAGTGAGGCCGACATCCGACGCGTCCTTTCTTTGCCGCTTAAGATACACCTCTTCCTCCTCCTGCACCCCCGCCCCTGTGCCGCTGCTCTTAGCCTGTTGTCTCTACTTGTACCTCTCTATGTCGCGCAGCTGTGCCACATGGAGGTTCTCTATTACCGCTGGTAACGGATGACGTAAGTAGGCCGCCCTTGCTTCTGCCACGACGACCCATTTCTCTGGCAAGCCCCCTGTCACTACATCAAGTAGGCCACACGAATCTTACTGGCAGCGTCCCGATCGGCCCCCTTTTCTCCTAGTAGCGCACCCTATATTCCACCTTCTCTTCCCACATGCAGATCGTAGAGCCCACTCTGAACAGGAATTCCACTCCGATGAGCAAGTCGAAGTCTTCGGACTCGGACACCCCGCAGAACACTCGTAGCAGACATTCATCCAGGTGGCGCACATTGCGCAGAGCTGCCGGCGCCTGGAGGAGCTCGACCTGTCCTTCACGGACATCACGGACGCCGCGCTCGCCGCCGTCGGCGCGGGGCTGCAGGCGCTGGAGCACCTCGACGTCAAGCACTGCAAGCGCGTCACCGGCGCCGGCGTCGCGCAGGTGGCGGCGGGGTGTCCGCAGCTGCGCCTGCTGCATCTGGGCGTCGTGGACGTCAGCGATGACGGCCTGGCGGCGCTGGGCCGTCACAGTCGCCGGCTGGAGGAGCTGTACCGAGGACTCCCTCGCCAGCATCGGCCGCCTGTGTCCGCGTCTGCTCGAGCTGCACGTGCCTGAGACCTGCAAGGCCGCTGATGGCGCGGGACTCGTCGCTCTCGCTCGCGGCTGTCCCAACCTCTCCATTCTCTCCCTGCCTGCCTTCAAGGGCCCCGACCACTCGCTCATGGCGCTGGGCTCGCATCTGCCTCGCCTGCTCAAGCTGCGCCTCCGCTCGGTTCCGCATCTCACGGATGCCGTGTCCCTAAATTCAGCACTAAGGCCATTGGCTGCCTGGTCTTAGGCATCCACTTCGCCTCTCCCCTTTCCGCCGTCATCAGCAGGTACCCTTCCGCAATCAGCCGCCCCGGCTGCCACAACTGCAACGTCTCTGCGAGACGCTTCCCAATCAGCACGTGTGCCGCACCCGTGTCCAGGATCACCTGTTGTGCCACCAATCCGCCAACCGTGATGGCGCCTGGCTCAATCGTTAACACCGTAGCCTGGCACGCCATCAGCTCGAACAAGTGCCTGTATGCTGCGCCTTCCTCATCCTCCTCTGCACTCGCATGCCGCCTCGGCCCATCCTCGCGCCTTTCATCTTGCCGGAACAATTCCCGCTGCGCCTGCCTTTTCAGCCCCAATTCTTCTCGGTCCCGTGCGGGCCTGGCCATCAACATAAGCTCTGGCTGCTCCCCCTCTTCTTCTTCCTGTGCTAACATTGCCGACCGCTTCTCCTCCACTGCTTCCAGCTCCGCCAGCTGCGCCCTTAGTCGCGCCATCATTGCCTGCCGATCTCCCGATTCTTCCCCTCCTCGACGCTCCCCCCGGCTGGCGTAGCACCCCCCTTCTCGGTGCCCGTGTCTGCCGCATCGCGCACACGTCGGTGCCTCAGGACATTCCCGCCGCAGGTGCGTGCGATCTTCGCACATCGAGCAGGTTGCGGGGTTCCTGCAGTCCCTGCGGAGATGTCCGGGCTGACCGCAGTTGTGGTACCTGCGACTATCATCCCTGGAGCGATTTTCCTATCAAGTTACTAAACGGGTAATGAATTGACTAAGGATAAACAAAACAAGAAAGATATAGTCAAGGCTAACCCTAAATGTAGCTCAAATGTAACTCACCTTGACTATAACATACAAGCTATAGAAATCATAGTTTGACACACCCCCATAGTCTAGGTGACGGTAGTCCTGTGGAAAGCAAGAACAAGCAAGGGTCACAAGACCAGTCCACAAGAACAAAACAAATCTCAGGGTGGATCTCAAGATCACCATGCAGTCCGAGAACAAGCAAGAGTCCACAAGGAACTGCCACATGCAAGTATATAGTAATAATAAGAGATGCAAGAGTACAAGACAAGCAAGACAAATAATCTCTACGTAAGCAAGTGAGGACTGACAGGCACAAGGCCGAGCTGGGTGCAGAAACGCTGGTGGTCACAAGGCGGCAACGCCTTGGTGAAGATATCTGCAGTGTTGGCCTCAGAGACCACACGAACGACGCGAGCCTGGCCACGCTGCTGCAACTCATGCAGAAGGAAGTAACGAAGCTGGATGTGCTTCGCCTTCCCAACCGGTCGGGGCTCCTCGCACAACAGGACAGCTGACATGTTGTCGGCGAACAAGACTGGGGGAGAGCGAGGCCGCTCACCAAGGTCGGTGAGGAGGGAAGACAGCCAGCGAAGCTCCTGGGCGGCCATGGCCGCAGCGTATACCTCTGCCTCACAGCTGGAGCCAGCGACAGACGACACCCGAGTTGACCGCCACGAAACAGCTCCGGTCCCGAGGCTGAAGTAGTGAACCCCGTGAAGACCTGTACGTCTTACCACAGTCCGCGTACGACGAGTCCGAGAAACCTCTGAGTGTAACTGGTTGCTTCCCTCCAAGGACAAGTCCCATGCTTGATGTGCTCGCCACATACTTCGCCACCCTCCTAGCAGCCAACCAATGAGAAGGTCGGTGTCTCCGAGGCGCAACAAGGCGCGCAATGACGCTGAGAGGGAAAGCCAAGTCTGGGCGAGTACAAGTCATCAGGTACATGAGAGAACCCACCAACTCAGGATATGGACCACTGGACTCAAATGACTCGTCCAAAGGTGGAGCCGTGAGCCCATGGTTCACACCAAGAGGAGTGAGCTGTACCTTGGAGAACAGGATGCGAAACCGCGTGAGGATCTGCTCGACCATATGCGACTGCGTCAGCATAATGGTGCGAGCTGCCCTGTCTCTCGTGGTCTGCAGGCCAAGGTAGCGCTGCAACTCACCAAGGTCAGAGCATGTGTGTCTCCTCTGCAGTTCCTCCTTCAAGGAGGCCAGTGCGTGTCGGTCGGGAGTGGCGAAGACCAGGTCGTCAACGTAAACCAGAACAAAGAACGGGGTTGAGCCACGGCGAACGAAGAGCGCCGGGTCGGCAGACGACGAAAATAAACCAAGTGCTGCAAGAGTCGTGCGAAGTGTGTCGTGCCACTCGCGAGGAGCCTGGCGCAGGCCGTAGACCGGTCGACGCAGCTGCCACTGGGTCCCTAGGGGAAAAGAGCCAGTGAAGCCAGGGGGACGACGCAGCCAGATCTGCCCGTGCAGGCTCCCCTGAAGGAACGCCATGGAAAAGTCCAAGGGGTGCAACTCGTAGTCGGGCTGAGATGCAATATGCAGCAACACCCGAAGAGTGGTCATCTTCGGGGTGGGAGCGAAGGTCGACCCCCTCTCGCTGATCTCGCCACATAGCGCGCCTTGAACACCGGTGGTGATCCAGGCGGCCGCTTCACCTTATACAGCCGCCTGCCACTTACGACATTCGTCCCAGGCCGCGGGACTGCGTTGACGTAGGTGCCTATGGACCGAAAAGGTGCCATCTCTGCCTCCTTAGCTGCTATCCAGTACGGGGCCCAAGGTCCCGAGACCTCCTCCGCGTGAGTGCGAGGGATCGGGATGTCAAGGGCGTCTGGATCCCCCTCAGGGGCAAGCTGGATGACGCAGAGATGGGGAACAGCAGCCGCAAGGAACTCCAACTCAAAGGGAAATACCGGTGCACCCCCAGTGGTCGAAGAACGGGCAGGTCCACTCACCAGGTGAGCGGCGTAGTCAAGGCAAAGGGATGAGGCAAAGGCACTGACAGTAGCTGCAAGAGCAGAGACAGACGACGAAGGAACAGACGGGTGCGTGACCAAGGAGGACAGAACACGAGGGACGACAGGACGAGCAGCACGGCGGGAGTCCGAGACCGGGTCTAGGAGAACAGGATGGGACGACGCAAGAGGCAACGGAAGACTCGAACGAGGTGGGACACGAGGGCGGAGAACACGTGAAACGGACAGTCGGCACGGTAACGAGACGGACGAGACTCTGGAGACACAGCACTACTGAGAGGAGAACGACGAAGAGTCCAGTCGGACTGGGAGGGGAACGAGGCAGGGGGAACAGAAGGAGTCGGGACGAGACGGACAAAGCGCGCAGGTGCGGGGTCAGGAAGCCGGTCCAGGCACTGCTGCTTCGCCTCCTCTGGCGTCAGCTACGGCTGCACCTGCTCCCGCTGCTGCTCCTGCAACTCCGCTAGCGAACGCAGCTGCGCCTGGGGCTGTGGCTCCTCCTCTACCCTCTCCTACTGCGGCTGTAACTGAACCTGCTGCTGCGGCCGTGACTCCTCCTCTACTCTCTCCTGCTGCTGCTGCAACTGCACCTGCTGCTGCGGGTGTGACTCCTCCTCTACTTTGTCCTGCTGCTGCGGGTGCGACTCCTCCTCTACTCTCTCTCGCCGAGTGTGACTCCTCCTCTACTCGCTCAAGCCGCTCCTGCTCCTCCCTCTCCAATCGTAGAAGACGATGCGCACGGGTCTGGAAACGTACAGCACGCGGTGTAGGCTTCGACGTGCCTGCTCCTCCGGCGCCAGCACCCCCAGAACCAGAACCTCCACCAACGACCCCCTCAGTGCCTCCAGTACCTCCCGCAGGGATACCCTCAGGCTCCGCAGAGTCCGACCGCAGAGACGAACGAGGAGGAAACTACGGAACGGGCAGGAGGCCAGGGGGTGAGGCGGGGCGAGGCCGCCGACTCAAGGCGGCCGTGTCCTTGACAGGAGGGGCCTCCACGCCCACACCCACTACACCCCCAGAGCCTGCACCACCAGCTCCGGCAGTCCCAGTACCCTCACCCTCCACAGCTGCACCTTCTGCACCCCCAGTCACGACAGGGACTGGACGCTGCTGTCAAAGTACTAACTCCTGTATGAATTGACTCAACAATCGCATACACGGGTTGATATAGCAAACCCTAGCCAACCCTAGCCAACCCTAAACACAAGTGTACACCACCTAGACTAGCAAACACAAACTATAACAATTAAAGTTTGACACACCCCCATAGTCCAGGTGATGGTAGTCATGTGGAAAGCAACACACCGTCTAAGAGCAAGGGTCACAGGACCTGTTAGCAAGAACAAGCAACGGTCACAAGACCAGTTCACAAGAGCAAAACAAAGCTCGGGGTGGATGTCAAGATTACCACGCAGTCCGAGAACAAGCAAGAGGCCACAAGGTCAGTTCACATGCAACGACATAGCAAATATAGAAGATGCAAGGGTACAAGACATGCATGACAAGCATCGCTACAAAAGCAAGGGACCACAAGGCCCGTCCACAAGCAGAGATATAGGATATATAGTGAGATGCAAAAGTACAAGACAAAGCATCTCTACACAAGCAAGTGAGGGCCGGTAGACACAAGGCCTAGCTGGGTGCAGAAACGCTGGTGGTCACATGGCGGCAACGCCTTGGTGAAGATATCTGCAGTGTTGGCCTCAGAGACCACACGTCGCACGAGTGCCTGGCCACGCTGCTGCAACTCTCGTAGAAGGAAGTAACGAAGATGGATGTGCTTCGCCTTCCCAACCAGTCGGGGCTCCTCGCACAACAGGACAGCTAACCTGCTGTCGGCGAACAAGACTGGGGGACAGCGAGTCCGCTCACCAAGGTCGGTGAGGAGGAAAGACAGCCAGCGAAGCTCCTGTGCGGCCATGGCCAAAGCGTACACCTCTGCCTCACAGCTGGAACTGGAGACGGACGACGCCCAAGTCGACCTCCACGA